CTTTTGTCTTTCATTTGACTTCCATCATCTAACAAGTGACTTCTACATGGTTTTGCCCTTTACAATTTTACACAATTACATTTATATTGCACAGTTTCCAGTGTTATCCAAACACTTTTGCAGAGAAATTTATCCTTTGTGACTCTAATAGATACAATGCTTTCTAATTAATGTATATTATCACTTCAAAGAAATTTTATCTACGTAGAGCATCACTGTTAAACCTAAACAACTTTTGCAAAGAGAATTTAGTTGGTTGCTAAAACTAAATAACCAAAATACCAATAAGATTCCAGGCAGCTTCAACTTCTCAAGACACTGCTTCAAAATATAACATTGTAAAGGTGAAATTCTTGCCAAATGCACCCCTTTCCAATATGCCAGAAAAATCATGATAAAGCAGCTTCGTAATTATCTAAAAGAAAGAGTGTACAGTAACAAGACACCCACCTCCTGTTGCCATCTTCCTCTCTGAGCTTCCTCTTCAGCATCTTCCTTGCCTCCTTCCGGATTTATAACTTCCACCCCTTCATAACCGAGCATTCTAGTTGTAAGAAGAAAAGGTATATGTTAGTGAGTCTTAACTTGTGACATTATGATGTCAGGAAAGCAACAGAGTTTCATCTAAATTGAACCTGACGAATAAAAGCAGCACGTGTATTTATCAGACATTGACGAGGAAAATCGACAATAAAAAACTAGCGAAAAATTATTCTTATGCAGCGCACTTGGTAGTATTGGTCCTGTTGGAAGGAAGTGAGTGTTAAACTGACAAATAAAGCACATAACTGCTTAGCACACTTAAAAGCCTTCATTTTTCATATGATGATTATTTCTTGGGAAATCAATTTGAACTAGTAAAATGTCAAAAGAAAAAATACATATTAAAGATAAATAAAAATACCAAATCAAACTTAGAAAAAACATGAAGACTCCTATTGATAGGATAGTCAAAATAACTAAGTGCCTATTGGTTGACAATTTCCTCTGAGTTCATGCAGCTAATCAGAGTTGCACTCATGTATAAAAGCCATGAACAATCTTGAGGTCATGGTTTAAAAACCCCATCTGAAACAGCCTTAAGGCCCGCCTCAAAGTGAGGTGTGCATAAAATGCCTTAAGGTGCGGATTGTGAACTAGTGTTTGGAGGCATACGCCTCAGCACGAGCCCCATAGCACTGCCTCAAGGTTTGTGCAGCAAAACATAAAAATTCTTATCGACCCATTTTCAAAATAGCCCATTGCCACTATAACATTAAAATTTTGTATTTCTCATAGACCCACTTTGGGAATACTACACTGCCTCGCCAACTAAAATAATTTTCTAAATAGATTTTTCTTTTGTTTGCTTGCACATTTAAAATTGTTCTATTATGTATTATGAATTTTGAAAATTGTTTAGGATATATTATGAGCTTATTTTTAATAATTTTTTGACAAATTTTTTTAGTTTAAAATCTTGATTATATTTAGGATGATGACATCGAATTAATAAAAATCACGAACTCCAGAGTGCTTTTATACATACATGAGTTAGGAGTTCCCTAAAATAGCTGAGGTATGTAAAGCTAGTCACTGACCCAAGCTGCGTGGAACATTCTTGAACTAATTATAGCTTCATTCGTTTGTAGCAAGCATATATTAATATGACTACATGATTAAGCTATAGAAACGAAGACAAATTTTACTTCATCTGCACTTAATTATCAATAAGGCCTCAGTATTCATTAACTCTAATTGTAGTTATTACTCTAATGTGATGTGATCCTCTCTCCAACAATACCATATGTGCAAGACATGACATATTATTTTACATGCAAGATTCACCCTTTTTATGCTGCAAACGTTTCAGAAAAATAAACAATAAAACGGTGGCTTTCCACGAGCATCCTACACTCGTCAATCAACTAAATAACAGAGAGAAAATTGCAGCTAAATCTCACATATGCACATATTACTGTATAGAAATTAAAAATTCAGATCTTTCAAATACCATAACTAATCAAGTGAAATCGAGAATTTTCCTGGTAACCTGATTGAGCGCACGTAAAAACAGAATAACAGCGTGTGGAAAGAAAGGAATTAATACCCGTTGACGGATCTATGCATGGCGCTGCTGAACATCGAAAAGCCCGAAGTCATGGCGGAAAAGAAGCCGGCCTTGTTTTCATTCTTATTTGGAGTCCCCATCTCTGCCGCAACAACAAAATTGGCTTGATCGTTTAAGAATTAAATTCAATTTCACAGAATTATGAGAGTATTTTGTGGATCGCGATGAGTAATTTGTGTCGATCCAATTGATCTGTCCGTCAGAGGGAGAAAGACGTAGAATGGGGATGATGATAAATTAATTGGCAGAAATGGGAAGTGCGAATAAACAATAGGATTAATTGAATAAACAATGAGGGGTAGAACAGGAAGTACAAAATATCAGACTAGTCGGCTTGGCGGTTCTTCATTTCGAGAAAAGGAAAAGTATTTTTTCACGCTTCATCCTTCTATCTCCATTTAGGCATAGATATGGTAAATATATTCGGAGTGACTTATTTTAGCCCCTGATTGATGGATAAAATGAATTATGGAATATTGATTTTTTGAAGAACATGTAATTAAAAAATAGAGAAAAATTATTCAAATACGTGTAAAATTATTTTATGGGAAAATGATTGAAAATGAATTTTGAAAAAATATATTCTTAAAAAATATGGGACTCAAACAAGGACTTAAAAATAAAATAAAATGAATTCATTTATATTCAAAATAAATCACATCAAATATACTACATAATTGATATAAAAAAGTCGAAGATATCAAATTTAAATCCCACAACATAGGGGTGGCAGCCATTGGGGCGGAGCAGTAGTGGCGGGAATAGCTGTGGTGCATGGTGAGAGGGGCAATCATGGCATGGTGCATAGGCTTAGGTCGGGGTGTTAGAGAAAATAAAGCGACCCCAATTTTCTTTTTATATCTTTTTCTTTGTTTCTACTGTTTTTATTTGTTTTGTAAACAATATGAAGAATTAGAAAAATAATTTTACGGTAACAAATCATGTGTACTGTGTAGGGCATCTGACATTTCAATGGAAGGACATATTGCACCTAAACCAACATGTCAACCGTATCTAATGAGATGTGTACTAGCCCTCCGGGGCATAGATCAGTGGTTCAAAAGACTTGAGTGATGAAGTTTCAGTTAAGTTGACAGTCACAGTGTGAGAGTTCGATTCTTGTCTCTTACAAGGTATGAAATTTGATTCTTTGTGGGCATCAGTATGACAGCTCCTGTACCCTGACCTGCTGAAACACATCCCGCGATTTACTTCTTCCACATTGTTCCAGTGGCGAGGCGGTGGGGGGCCCTCAAGGTTGAGGTTCAACCTTTTTTTTTTCCTAATGAGATGTGTACTATTTGCCTTCCATTCTCTTTAGTCGTGAAAGATTAGGCTGAGTATTCCATAAATATCCACTGTTTAACTAGATGTCAACAGGGCCAACCCCATGCCAAAGCCAACTAAGCAATGGCCTACGGCCTCAAATCTCAAGAGGTCCTCAATTGAAAAACACTACATGAAGGTCAGTTATATTACTAATTTCTAAAATATAGATTACTTAAAAATTCATTTAACTACAATTTTTTTGGTCTATTCTAACTTGGTTTGATCTTATCCAAAATAATGTTTCTCCAATTTAATATACATGATTACTTACGAGATGTAAAATGAGCTCAATAGTGTTACAAATTACAATAGTATGGTTTAATTTGAAAAACTAATTACACGTCAAATAGTTTACTTCAATGAGTTATAATTTGAATTTGGTTTATCTAATTTTTTTTTCGAGTCTACGATATGTCATTTATTATGAGTTTTGAAATGAATCAATATTGACAGGGTAATTCTCGATTTACTCGGCTCAGCCCTTTTTGGCTCGAGCCGAGCTGAGCCAGAGCTTCGAGTTTCGGCTCGTGGCTTGGCTCGTTGCCATGACTATTTGGTCCAAATACATTATTAACCTCAAAACTTATTTTCACTTTAATCTATCAAAATCTCAAATTTATCAAAATGTTCTCGATTCAAAATCATTACTAAATAATTCTAACTCGTCACAATATCGTCTGTAAATATATATTTTCCACTATTTTGCAGTTTAGTCCCTAAATTTTCCACTTTTTGTAATTGAAAATCACTTTTTACGAGTCATTCTTACAATATTCTTAGGAATTCAAATTATAAGAAAGTTTTAAGAACCATAGTTTAGATTATGGTTCTTAAAACTTTCTCATAATTTCTAAATTGCACTTTACTAAAGTTTTCCCAATTAATAATTTTTTAGATTATTATTTACACTAATAACATTTTTTTCCATCAACGTGATAATTGTGCTAAATATTATGTTACCTTAATCTCTCGAGCTATAGAGATAAAAATTTTCAACTCTATCTTTTGGATTGTGCTAAGTCTTCATTTAAAATATAAATATAGCATTTGTTCAAATGTTTAAGTTCTTTTACGCTTGTAAACAAATTTATGTTTAAGAGCCTCATAATATTGACTTATGTGGGGCCTCAAAATTCTCGAGACCTTCCTTGAATTCATGCCAACAAGTTAGCTCAAATAAGAACCCTATGATTTAAAAATAACTAGACACGTGAATACTCTGAGACTAAGCGCAAGGGTCAATCATCAGACCCCCTAAGGAAAAGAATAAATCAGTAGATGACTGATCCACGAGCCTCGAACATAGCTGTGGAGCTCGCTAAAATCATATTTACAAAGAATCCAAAGTTGTAAAGAGCATTAGCTTGTATCATTGAGGATGCCCCTTGATTGTGATTGAATACAACACCGGGAAAACCTATGGCGTCCACGTCCCACGACAAGTTTCACTATCGTATTCGTCTACAAGGAAAATGAAAATAAAGTTTTCTCTAGTTAACTAATACAAATTTTCTATGATTTTCATCCTCCTCCTCGATGTAAGTCTGTTGATAACTAAATATTAATATCTATCTGTTCTTCTAAAGAAATTATCCCATTCATGCACTCCTGTTTTACCAAAAGTATAGTACTTCCAACTACTTTCTTCATCAAAGTCAGTACTCGAATTCCTTCCCTCTCTAACCTCTTTCCTCAAAGTCTCTACCCTGTCAATAACTCCTTTTATTGTTAAATCAAATGCATCTTGAAACTTCTTCAGTCGAGACCTTGGATCGTTGTAGATTACCTTTGGGATTAGCTTTATAACCTCTTCTCTCATTGCTGATATGTTCTTTGCTGGAATTTGAGATAATATCTTGTCAATGTTCGATTTCTTCTGTTTTACATCATCCTCTGGTATGAGCACTGAATAGGTAGTATAATCTTTTGGGAGATGCCATAGATATTGGACATAAGCTGAACCTGGACTGAAGAAAACCGGAATGCAGCCTGCTAAAATTGAATCAAATGTTGATCGCCTGGTGAACGAATCCCCTGAAGGCTGCAAGCAAAAGATGGAATTTTGGAACAATTTCATGACATGAACTGGCTTCATGCACTTGTTTTTGTCATTCTTGCATTCTAGCAATCTGCATTTTCGCCTCAATGCATTGCATTGTTCCATGATCTCACTTCGGATTGAGTCCTCCATGTTTGGGCGCGGTGCACCAGCAAAGCAAAAAAGTGCGTGCCTTTTCTGTCTCCTCATTTTATTTTGCCATTGAATAACTTCATTGTCATTTGAAGGATGAAAATATGTAGGATATGGTATAGCAAAATCATTTCGGTGCCAAGGGCTCGATTCAATAGTTAACATCGTCATGTTCTGGGACTCTGGTAAGAACATAAGTTTATTGCCCCAGCCAGAGTCCTCATCAAATGCCCGTCTAAAATCCCACGTAATTCGCCCCGCAACCAAGAAATGATCCTTTCCGCCCATCACACTCCACTCGGGTTTTCCCCTCAACCACTTAACCAAATCCCTCGAATCCGAATCTTTCACAGAAACATTATACTGATCCCACAAAAACCGCGCAATATCAAGCCCAGAATAATATGGCACGAAAATAGCAGCAGCTTTTGAGGAGTCATTTGTTAGGCATTCATACTGTTTAATTCTGTTATGAAATATGACTTCTAAAGAGAATTGATGAGTCTCAAACCAACCAGAGCCTAAAAAAAGCCTTTGAGGATTTCCTAGCCTAGAACCAAGCCCATCATTCTCAAAATAATGGCACATATCACTCCATTTGTTTAACGACTTGCATTGCTTAAGCAAATCATCGTTGAATCGACTAGGCAAATCATGAACATAAACATACCGGCCTTTGCAAAAATCGACCTCTTTTCTATCTAATCCTTTCCCCAGATTTCTTTCATCATCTTGTGGCTGTAATAAAGGTTCCAATTCTTTCTGAAGACCCTCAAGATCTTCGATGGTATCATTATCTGCAGACGAAATGTTGTATACAGATTTTTCGTCGTGCTTTATTACATCATTGGCATGGGGAATTACACTAACATCTTCTCCGTGTAAATTCGTTTCATTAATGGAATCCGAACCCAATGAGACGGCAGAATTCACTTGGTGGCGCGATGTTGAAAGTGGAAACCAATCAACCCTATAGACTAACAAATACCAAAAAACAAACAAAAGAAAAAACAAGAACCAGAATTTGATACGAGACCTTGTAGCGATCGAGTTATCCATATGCCTTCTTCGTATGCTTTGGCACATCAAAATCTTCGAACATTGGTGATTAGACAAGAGACCATGCAGAACAAAAGTGGATCAAAATTATTTCTGAATAAGTTTTTCAAGAAAAGGGGAGAAATTGTTCAAAATCAAGAGAGATTTCTGGGTATATGAATCATATGATGCTGTTGAATTTTGACCTTCTATATTTAACGGTTTCATCTAATTATGGCATCTCAATCTCAATGTGAAAGCCCAACTGCAAAGACTAAATCTTTTGCCTTAATATCATGCCCTTATTCCTTATTGGTTAACTCATATAATTTTGATTTTCTTACCTAATGAGACTTTTCCAATCTTCAAAAAGAAACTCAAGGCTAGGTATCGAATGAATTTGACCACTCGATTATTCCAAAAGTCGTAATTGACAATAAATAAAGAGGTTGTTAAATTTTATATGATTAATTCCAGATATTATAAACATTCCCTCGTTTCCATCCCCGAGCATTTTGACTTTCCCATTTCTCAAAAAATAAGAGGTAGGGGCTGGGTTATTGATGTGAGGTCGTGCACTAATGTATTGGATTAAGACTCACAACAAGCGGAACTCTCATGTTTAGTTGTTATCGTTCAGTTAAGAACCCTAAACAGATTGTCAGTAATAAGTCGGAGGAGGGTGATGTTATAAATTACTAACTACATCCAATTTCATGATGTACATATTTGAAAAGTTGTAACTTATGAAAGAAGCAAAACAAGTACACCTCGTACAAAAAAAGTTCACGTAGCACTTCTACTTACCATCTAAGAATCAATTAAAATGTATTATGATTCACAAAGCTTTAGATTAACTGTTTTAATCTATAGATTCCTAAAAAAAACAATAATGTTGAAGGAACTAATTAAATTATAGCCTCAGCTCTTAAAGTCCATCATTGGCTATATTTGGAAGACATCAAATCAGCAGACCAGCAGGACATTGGGCCTCAGAAGGGTCACTCATCACAGGCCCATTTCAGTCAAAAAGGAGCAGCAAAAGTCTGACTGCCAACTCAACCTTTCAACCTAATTCTTGTATTGTACAGTAGGTCAACACTAGCATGATCATAGGCTACCGTTACTATCTTCTCTTATAAGTTTCAGCTATTCATTCTTCTTGTAAATCAGAACACACAATATACAGGTTGTTCATCATATTTACTTTATGAAATTCTACACACTTCATCACTAAATCTAGGCAAATATGTTTGTCGGCTTCTTTCAATAGTGTAACGAAATTGGAAGCATGTTGATTTGAGACATGTCCCTCAAGGGCACACTGATGTTGATTGACAAAATCGTTATACATTTCAGTGCCCATCACATACATCACCATGGTTTGATGGGTATAATTCATTGTAACTTGTAGTTGAGGATTCACTAAAATCTGATGCACTATTAATGAATGGTTCACTGTGTGCTATCCATTTTGTATAATCACTTGTAAACCCATTTTTATAAAGATGAAATTTTACACATCTCCTTTCTGAAATTCCCCGTTGTCACATTTAGAGTATGGGCACTTAATTTTATCTCCAACACTTGGTTGAGAAAAGGCAAATTCAATGAACTTTTCAACCAATTTAATAAATATATCCGAAAGTAATTCGTCAACGACTCGTTCAAACATCTAACTATGGTCATCCTCCATATTGTTTAACAATGTTACATCTATGATCGAACTACAGTCAACCTCCATATTCTATTTGGGGGAAAATTAGGTAGCAATTCTCTGTGATTGAGTTTTTGAGAAAGAAAAATTGCTCCAATAGAGGATTTTACTGTTTGGGCCTAACTCTCTTATGATAGGGGCAGATCAAATACTACCAACGAATCACCACTAGAAATATTCTTCGATATATTTTAGGTAGTTTTGATTTTTTTTATTCAGAATTTACCAACGAAAAAGATCCATCAGTAAATATTATATAGTGTTTATTTATTTTATTCAAAATTTACCAACGGAATACCTATGAAAAGGCATCAACGACTGATATATATCGTTTCCGTTGGTGCACAGTCGTTGTTATTTAAAATAATTATAAGTAAATATAGTTGGAAAGGTGTCAGGGATCTGTCGCTAATAGCGATGAAACTAGTTCGTCGTTGAAAGTGTCCCTCGATTAGCGGAATGATTAATAAGTGTTTAATGGTTCATATTAAATTGAGTTTTAAGCTGTTTAGTCTTAATTTTATACCATCATAAATAAGTTCTAAAAATTTGTTTCTCCTTTTTTAAACTATATGTTAGTTACTAGTTCAATCCTAACGTGAAATTAAAATTAACAATTAATAAGCAACAAGTCACTTTTAATTATTTCTAGATTGTTAGCCAATCAATTCATTTTTCCTATTGTTTGAACGCTGCAGTTATATAAAAGCAGTATAATACAAAATATGATGACGGATAAAATCCTTAACTGGATAAAAACTTCAAGACCAAGCCAATAGTTTTCACTATAGAGAATGTGAACTTACAGTATGATCCACACTAGAAAATTCACTAAACTTGCTGATCTAATTCATATAATCTCCAAGATCCACTCAAACATGCTGCACTCACAGTTGCTCTCGATCTTTTAGAATTGTCTATCTTATGTGGACCACCAAAAACGTCTAGTTCTTATACTCTTCATGTGTTTGCTGTCCAACTTCTCTCAATCTTCAACAACTCTGAAAGCTTTTGAAAAAGTATCTTGAATATGAATTTAGGAAGTGGGTGTTTCGGATTCTTCAATTTGATGTTTACTCAAAGTGTGCTTGAATGATCTCAAGAATGAAAAGATAAATCACAAGGGATGAATATTTTCTTGGATCTCTAAAGAATGATATGAGGCAAAAAAATAATAATCAACCACATAAAAAAATGTGCAAGGACTTGATTATTTATAGTAAAAGGTAGCTAAGTAGTCTGGGCCCATTAAAACTCTTTAAAATGCGAACTTGGGTTTCCATGGGAAATACTGTCATTTGAGCGATTGCTCAGCGACGGCGAACAACAGTTGAGCAGACTTTCTTTCCTGATATCCGATTGAGATGATTCAAGATGCATTGGAAAGCTAACTCAAAGAACTACAATTCTTCTAAATAGCCTTATCCATATTCTAATATTTTTTAATGTGAAAAATACATTGCAATTTGAGGCTGAGAATTTAGAGCATAAATTGTATGGTTCTTTGACACTCTTTAGACTTCTAATTACTTTTCCTTGATCATATGTGATCTTCTTGGCATCTTTGACTTCTTCAAGGACTATACTACCAACCAAATAATTCCTTGACTTTTACAACTATTTTAAAACAATCATTTTGTGTAAAAAATTGCCAATACACTAAAAACACAACACTATATATAACCAAGTTAATTGCCATTGTGTCAAGTGTCATAATTACTTATATATATATAAATGAAGTAAAGGAAACAAGCCAAGTCAGATATCTTGTGAACCGTCACAACCTTGAATCTACTTCAAAAGGAACATTAAATGACATAAGTTCGAACTACACTACTTTTAATTGGAAATTAGACTTAGGTCGTCGTTCAAAATGGTACATCCCCAATTCCCCTCAACAAGCCCAAATGCCCTTATACATGGATCATTTTCTTTAGCAAAAGGGCCGGAAAGTTTAACTATCAACACAACTACAAAAAGTTAGGGCCTTGGGATATACTGTAAAGTTTGTGGTAACTTGTCTCCAACCTTTACCCTTTTACACTTTTATATATCCAGTCTCTGTTTCTTCACGTTCCTGTCCTCAGCCTTCTGTATAATGGCGTCCTTGGTTCCCAATGCAGTTTTTGTCTAAAATTTCCTTTGGCAGACTCCCCATGTGAAGTAGCACAAAATGTACATTGATTTATTGAGGTGTCACTGTGGGAAAAAGTGAACATGAATAATGACTTGTAAGAAAATTGTTGGACTCTTAAAGATTGGGTGATATGCCCTTTACCACCATTAGTGTATTGTTGGACAAGGGCAAATGGACCACTAGGCAAGAATCAGCAGGCACAGGTGTAAACTGTTTGGCCAAATCCTCAATGTGTAGCCAGCTTATAGACAAGAAATTATCGGTAAGATGGATTAAATAGTAGTGGCCAGTATTAAGAAAGAATTTACTTTCCAGTGTATGCTCAATATATTTAGCAATGAACATAGGGGAAAAATTAATTCATGCAGCCGATCGCAGCAAATTAACTGGATACATAGATTTAGTAGTTTGTTATATATCATGTCCTGTTGACAAGTCTTTTTAAAGACACTTGTACAGTGTAATTCTAACTGTTACATATTATATTGATGAATATTTTGCTCAAGAAAAAAATATTGTATGTGTTATGAAAAGAGAGAAAAAGAGAAGAGAAAAAGAGAAGTCAATAAACTTGTGTGGATTATAATGAGAACCAAAACCCTATATTTATAGGGAAGGAATAGAGATACATATGGTAATTATATCTAGGGCTGCAGGGGTACAAGTGTCATTCACACTAAACCCTAATTTACTTTCCTTTTACAACACTCCCCCTTGAATGACACGTTATAAAATATCTGCCTCGTTAAAATCTTGTTTGATAAAAACCCAATGGGAAAAAAAGATCAAAACGAAAGAAAAGGAGTACAGTTATTTTGGAGTATTAAAGATAAATGCTGTCTTATTAAAACCTTGCTAGGAAAACCCAGTGAGATAAAACCTAAATAAGGAAAAAGAGTACAGCTACTCCCCCGATGTTGATCACTGAAAATCTTTGAGTCGACGCATTCCAATCCCGTGAACCAATTTCTTGAATGTATATGTTGGCAGTGCTTTTGTCAATAAATCATCCAAATTGTCACTTGAACGAATTTGTTGAACCTCGATGTCGCCAATCTTCTGAAGCTCGTGTGTATGAAAGAATTTTGGAGAAATATGCTTCGTCCCGTCACCTTTGATATAACCTCATTTGAGTTGTGCAATGCANTGTCATTCACACTAAACCCT